CCCATTTACTATGCCTTTGACTATGTTCATCCTAAGATAGCTTAATTGTGCCCACTTTTTAAACCCTCGAGCCGCCCCTGAAGCAGGACTTTCTTTTGTGAGTGAGTGTGTGTGTGTGTGTGTGTGTGTGTGTGTGTGTGTGTGTGTGTGTGTGTGTGTGTGTGTGTGAACGAGTATGAAAATAAATAGGGTGTTTCATCTAATGTTAGCTTAATACACAGCAGACTGGTGAACAGCGTTTTGTTTGTTTTTGTTTTTGTTTTGCTTCGAGTTTTGGGTTTTAGAAAGTGTTTTACGGCGTCGCCCTTATCCTAGAAGGCTGGTAGATCTTACCTACCCTAAGATCAAGGGTGTGGCTGAAAGACAGCAGTACGTTTTTTAGAAGAATGCTTTCTGTCGCTGTCAGGTTTCGAACCCGGGGCCTAGTGAATGAGAGACGAACATAGAACCTATAGACCTCGAGAGCCCCGTGGACAGAGGTTTATAGAGTCTTGTCTAAAAAGTTTCCACAAATGGGGGAAAGAATGAATGCATTTCCAGAATAATAAAAAAAAAAGTGTCATAGCGTATTATCATGCTGACATTATCAGTTATCACACATTATGTTCGTGTTTACGTACATTTTGACAGTTGAAAAGCACCCTTTAGCTAGAGCAAAGTTATGGAGAGAGGGCAGTGTGCATCTTGTATAAAAGCAATGGTCATTCCTCCCGCTGGTATAAAAGCTGACTGCTAGACCAGCTTGCAAATAGAAAAAATCTGATGTGGTAACTTAGACGAGTGAAAAGCAACCTCGATACCTTGACAGTTTAAAACTTAGAAAATAAAGGTTAAATGGCGTGCACGTGTGTGTGTGTGTGTGTGTGTGTGTGTGTGTGTGTGTGTGTGTGTGTGTGTGTGTGTGTGTGTGTGTGTGTGTGCGCGCGCGCGCGCGTGGGCGCGCAGGCACGCGGGGGCACGTAAACGTTAATTTTATTTCAAAGCTTCTCATATGAATGTTTACAGATGTACGCTAGGCCCTACTTGTGTGTTTTTGTACCGACCTGTCATTTTTTTAGGAATTATGTGTCCAGTTTCTGTTGGGTATTTAAAAAAGTGGGCTGTTAAAAAGCTTCCACTTGTGACGGAGAAAAACACCACCAGCCTCTGTCTGTCAACTAGAGCGATGCCGACATGTGACAGGTGACATGTGACATGTTGGGAAAGTAGGCTCGCTAAGAATGTGCGTTTAATTTGCTGCATTAAGCGCGCATTATTTCTTGTGAGTGTGAGTGCGTGGATGTATGTGTATGTATGTGTGTGTGTGTGTGTGTGTGTGTGTGTGTGTGTGTGTGTGTGTGTGTGTGTGTATGTTACAGTACTAGAAGTGAAGAACGAACTACACCTATGGGATGAGGTGAGGGAAGGGTAGGAGAGGGCGGGGAAGGGGGCACTGGGGACATCTGTCGTTCCTGCATTTCCTATCTTACAACACCCCTTTTTTATCCCACATCACCCTCCCCCTTTTCTCCCTTACGATAGTGGAAAGGAATTTGTGGTGTCACTGGTGCACATTCATTTGATGCAGTCGGAGTCAGTTAGATTTTTCTCCAGGGAAGGAAAAAAAAGCTGCCATTTCGGCACAATTCGACCCAATCGACTTAATTCGATTATATGTCCTTCAAATTAAAAGTAGTTTGTTTTTTCAAGGTCGCGAATCTAACTAGGTTTGCAGTGACACAGTCGAAACAACAGCCTCTTAAATATTCTAAACCGTGATTACAGGGTCGCAATTATAAGTGCATCATTATTATCAATTCTATTCGTAAAAGTGCAACTTTATTATCTTTTCAACTCATAATTATAAGTGCAGCATTTTTATCTATTCAACTCGTAATTATAAGTGCAGCATTTTTATCTATTCAACTCATAATTATAAGTGCAGCATTTTTATCTATTCAACTCATAATTATAAGTGCAGCATCATTATCTATATTATTTACTTGTACACAGCAAAATGTACTCACATTTGACTACAAATATAATATAGGCCTAGACTCTAGTTTACCAAGTAAGTGTGTTTGTTTTATTTATTTTTGGTGGCCTTTTTTGTTTTTGTTTTGTTTTGTTTTTTCTGCCATGTGTTTGAGGCAAAAAAAAACAAACGTGTAGGCCTGCAAGTACGTTATGCGTACATTATTTATTCCAAGAGAACGGAAATCAGTAATTCTTCTGGAACCACTTACGACGATTAATCTACATTCATTTAGGCTTAGGCTTGGCCGGTATTGGGAGTCGGCAGTCTATAGCAGTGGTTAGGTTTCCGGACTCGTCATCGTGAGCTTGAGGGTTATGGTGTTCGAGGCTCAGATTTGTCCGATGTTGTATCCCAGCACGGAAAGGCACTCTACGCTACTTTTCCCATTTGACTCGGATCTATTGGAGAGCGACGTTAAAATCGGAGGTCCCGCCTCTTCGAGAATCTTACAGTGTTGCAAAGGGGATTAACCCTATGCAATTTCGCATTCCACCTGTGTCGATACCGATTGTTCGCCTTTTTCGGTGTTGACAGAGGAGATGGTTTACTCCACGGTGTCCTCTGGACAGTGTTGAGATGAATTTCATGTTTAATTGCCAGTCAGGGCTGATAAGCTCATACTGTTTGGAGTT